GGACCACTTGTGCCTTCACCTTCCACATTTTTTCTAGCTCTTTTTTCAGCCCTTTGTATTTTTTGAGCTTTTCTTGTTCCTTCTTCCTGATGCTGCTATCGCTTTGGGATTGCTACATTTATCACTACGGCCTTCTTCCTCTGTTTATCCACCACTACTATGTCCAGTTGGTTGGCCATTACCAGTTTGTCAGTTTGTATCTGGAAGTCCCACAGGATCTTAGCTTGGTCATTCTCAACCACCTTTGGAGGTGTATCCCATTTTGACTTTGGGACTTCCACCCTGTACTCGGCACAGATGTTTCTATACACTATGCCAGCCACTTGGTTATGGCGTTCCATGTATGCCCTGCCTGCTAGCATCTTGCACCCCACTGTTATGTGCTGGATTGTCTCAGGGGCATCTTTAAACAACCTGCACCTGGAGTCCTGTCTGGTATTGTAGACCCCGGCCTCTATTGATCTTGTACTTAGAGCTTGTTCTTGTGCTGCCAGGATTAGTGCCTCTGTGCTGTCTTTCAGTCCAGCTTTGTCCAGCCACTGGTAGGATTTTTTGATATTGGCCACTTCTTCTGTTTGACGGTGGAACATACCATGCAGGGGTTTGTCCTTCCATGAGGGTTCCTGCTCTTCCTTCCCTTGTACCTCTGGTTTCTGCTGCCTGAGGTATTCACTAAACACGTCATCACTCGGGGCCATCTTCCTGATGTATTCGTGGATCTGTTTTGTTTCATCCTGGATAGTGGCTCTGATGCTCACTAATCCTTGGCCTCCTTCCTTCCGCTTAGTGTACAGTCTCAGGATGCTGGACTTGGGGTGAAACCTGTCGTGCATTGTAAGGAGCTTCCTTGTCTTGATGTCAGTGGCCTCTGTCTCCTCCTTTGGCCAGCTTATTATGCCAGCGGGGTACCTGATGACTGGCAGAGCGTAGGTGTTAATTGCCCGGACTTTGTTCTTTCCATTCAGCCAACTTCTCAGGCCTTACTCTCTGCAGGTACTTGGTAGTTGCTGCTTTCCTTGCGGCCTCTTCATGGTTCCTATTTGCCTGTGGGATCCCAAGGTACTTGTAGCTGTCCTCAACATCTGCTATGTTGCCTTCTGGTAGTACAATCCCCTCAGTTTTGACTACCTTCCCTCTCCTTGTTACCATTCGACCACACTTATCCAGTCCAAATGACATTCCGATGTCCTGGCTGTAGAGCCTAGTGGGTGTGGATCAATGAGTCGATGTCTCGTTCACTCCTGGCATACAGCTTGATG